CTTGGGGCAGCACATCTGAAGCACACTGAGGAAGAGGAGTGGCCTCAGAGACGAGGTCTGGGGCAGCTGAGAGGCAGACCATGGAGGCTTTGGGACACTGAAGAAGGCCAGCCTTCACTCTGAGAGGAGAAGCCACTGAAGTGTCTCAGCAAAGGCCAGACATGGCTGCTGTGTAGAGAGTAGACTATGCGGTCAACGGAGAAGGCGTTGAGACCCACTTCTTCCTTACCTTCCAGGATGGAAACTTGCCTCCTGATTTTAAACAACTCACTTCCATATCCTGCTGTAAGATTAAATCGAAGGAATAGTGCACTTATGGAAAAGATAAATAGGACCATGAGGGACGCCTGGGTGGCTCAGCGGTTGTCTGCCTTGGGCTCAGGTCATAATCCCAGGGTCCCGGGATTGAGTCCTACATCGGGCTCCCTGTAGGGAGCCTGCTTCTCCCTCTGCCTGTGTCTCTGCTTCTCTGTGTGTCTCTCATAAATAAATAAATAAATAAATAAATAAATAAATAAATAAATAAATAAAAATATTTTTTAAAAAATAGGACAGTGAAACTGAGAGGGAGGCTCGCCCTCAATAACCTTTTATCAGTGAGGTTCCTCTGCCTGATAGAGCTCTCCTCTGTGTTGGTGCTGAGTCGTTTGTCCAGTGTGCTCCTCAAACTGCAGCTTGTCAAATAGCAGAAGCCTCATCTTGTCCTCACCAGGAGGTTCCAAACACCAGTTAGGAAATGATGAAATAAATTGCTTGAAACAAAGCCTAAAGGGGGAAGAGGGGAAAAGTGTCAAATGATCATTTAACCTGAGGAAGAGAAAGTGAACAGGAAACTTCAATTGCTTTTTCCACCACGTTTTGAAAAGCTGCGCTCTCACTCTCTCCACTCTCTCCACTGCAGACTTCGAGGGAATCCAGTTGGACATAAAGCAGAGGGTGTGATCACAGTGGGAAATAAGGTGACCACGGGATCCCATGGAAATAGTCCCAGGAGATTTAGAAGCAGTGATGGACAGCCCGCAACATATGGAAGTCAAGAGACTTCCTGAAAAAAAGGATTTCTTTTTAGAGGATGTTAGAATCCTGCCCTCTGTCACATCCATTCCCCCCACCCCCTACCCCAATCTCTAACATCCAGGCCTACCTACCCTTCCAGACCCAACTTCAATGCTACCTCCTCCACGAAGCCGCCTGTGATTGACGGCTCCCAACCAAGACTGAAAGTAATTTCACCCTTTCCTGGACTCCCATAGGCAGTTCCCAAGAGCATGTCTATCTGGTTACCAAGTAATATATGTTCGTGTTTTTCTCTAGACATTAATATTCCAATTGAAAACCCCTTGAAAGAATAGTCTAATTCTTTTTTTTAAAGATTTTATGTATTTATTCATGAGAGACACACACACAGAGGGAGAGAGAGAGAGAGAGAGAGAGAGAGGCAGAGACACAGGCAGAGGGAGAAGCAGGCTCCATGCAGGGAGCCCAACGTGAGACTCGATCCCAGGTCTCCAGGATCATGCTCAAGGCCAAAGGCGATGCTAAACCTCTGAGCCACCCGGGCTGCCCAAGAATAGTCTAATTCTTATTACATTGCCTAGGATGTTTGTTCATTCATTAAACCAACATTTGTTAAACATCTACGATGTGACAAGCACACTGGCCTTGAAATATCAAAATGAATAAACCATTGTCCTGTCTTTACAGAATTCAAAGGGTAATGAATGGATGGATGGATGGATGGATGGATTGAAAGATGGTGGATGATGGATAGGTGAATGGCAAATGTTAATCCAAACACTTTCTGCCAAAAACCTCTTCCTAGCTCATCTAACTTCTCCTTTGAATTTTTGAGGACTGAATCCACACTTCAGGTAAAACAACCTGAAGATACAGAACAGTTTTACCTTGACCCCAAGTCAACCAAGAAACCATGAGCAACAACCAGCCTGAGTCCTGGGCCCCATCCCAAGACCCTTCATAGCCAAAGCCCTACACTTCCAGCCTTCTCCCCATGGGCTGCAAATATAACTCTTAGGTCTCTACTTTCAACACAACAAAAAGATGGAGCAGATGCTAAAATGACTTCTTCTCTCAGCCTGCTCCTTCCCTTTGTTCTGGGCTTCCCACTATTACCTTGCCCTAAGAGGTAGTAAAAGGGGACATATCCTCCATAGTTATTTCCCTAGATAGCTATCTCACTAAACCTTGACCATCACCCAAGACATGGTAGTGGACCTGCCTTATTTTGAGGTCCTCTGGTCTTAGAATCCAAAGCGTAGGTCCCAACAGTAGGCAAAATCCACAAGAAGCAACACTAAATAAACCCCTCTTTGCCTTATCCTTCAGTTTCTTTCTTTTTTTTTTTTCAATATCCTTCAGTTTCACTAGTGACAAAGGAGAGAGACTTCAGAAGTGTTGGCAAGAGTTTTCTGAAACCAGGAGGGCTAGACTGAGAGAACAAGGTCTTGGTAAAGGGAGAGGGACCTATGCAAATGAGGTCATTGCTTGGGAGTCTGGGAACCTGAGCCAAACCACCTGTGAGGTTATAGCCAAGGCTGGAAGTCAAGAGCTTGGAGAGTGGGGGTCAGAGCAGAGGAACCCAATAAGCTGAGTTAAAGATCTGCCCACCCACATTGGGGGCATTACAGTGTGAGAAGTGATTTTAGGAGGCCTCAAGGTAAAGCATTTTGGATCGGGTAGAGAGTGCGGGGCCTTCCAAGGGGCAGGTAATGCAACCTGTGTCTCCATGGTTCCCTTGAACACAAGGAGCTGGCCAGATCCAATTCAAAGGATCCAAGAGAAGAGTGGTGCCTATTATCCCAAAAGTGGATTTTCCCCTTCGAATAGTCCCCTTTGTGTAGCCAGCCAGCTCCAAACCTGTATGGATCATGGCCAGGATCCACTCCCTTGAACTGTTTTGGTAATAGAGACCAACAGGAATGTCAACCAGAGTGTTCTTTATAGAAATAAAACACAAACATACCCACATAGCCACTTCCTACAATAACACTTTTTTTTCAAAAGATTTTATTTATTTATTTATTCATAAGAGACAGAGAGAAGCAGAAACACAGGCAGAGGGAGAAGCAGGCTCCCTACGGGGAGCCGGGACCCTGGGAACCATGACCTGAGTCAAAGGCAGGGGCTCAGTGAGGCACCCAGGTGCCCCCAAAGACATATTTATTCTAAGATACACACCACTTGATCTGAGTTTCCTGTAAATCATTTTATTCAACCCCACTCGAGTTGGCTACTTCCACACCTTCCTTGCTCAGAGGGCAGGAGAAATTTGTTCACCTGCCCCCAACTCCTCCATGTGGCCCATCACAACCTGCCCCTTCCTGGTAAGTGAACTTGAGAAGTCCCTCCCCTGCTTCTAACCTTTGATTCCTCCTCCCCACTCTGGAAACTTAGAAAAGAACCAATTCAGCATTTTCCCCCAGGGGAAGGTGGCAGATGCTAGGGGGTGAGTCCCAAAACAAGGAGGGGATTAGGGTGGGGTTTATGAGGGCAGCTGGGGAGCACGAGCCCCTGACATTAACCCTTTGCTGCCCTGCCCCCACCACCCTGAGCCTGCCTGCGGGTCAGTGTGAAGGCCACAATGGCAGGGACTGGCCTGGGCAAACTGTGTGTCCTCTGTCTGCACACAACCAGGGCCCCGTGGGCACAGTGCTGGAGGGACTGGAGTCTGAATGAAGTGCCTGGCAGCCCCGGGTGGCAGGTACCAACGGGGTGGCCAAGGGAATGAGTGTATCCTGCATCTGCAGTGAGAGGGATTTGGGTCAGACCACATGGCGAGCTGTGCAGGAAACCTCGGCTCCTCCGGGTATCTTGGAAGTGGTCCCGTTATGGAAACAGGGTGTCCACAAAGGCTATGCCCAGATCCGCACCTCTGACTATCCTCGCCCCATTCTTCATTTCATCAGTCATAATCTCCAGGGCTGCCCCCAATCAGGCAGCTTCACCCCCCATCACTCTAGCCCACCTGCCTCCTTTCCCCCACACTCCCATCACTCAAGGACAGCAGTATAGACATAACCCCGGATACAACCACCTGAGATGGCAAAGTGAGTCCAGCACGAAAGCTCTGTGACAGGCTTCCACTCCTCCATCCAGCAATCGGGACATTGCTGATTCTTGGAACAAGTTTCTGAGAGCCTTGCCAGCCCAGTGGGCCGGAGTCCTCTGCATAGAGTCTCATGAAAATAGGGAGGCCTTGTTAGACGCTGAGTGCAAAATCTCCATAAGCTCCCTAACCCCTCATTGCACATTCAGTAGAGGCTGTCCGGCTGCCTCTCCTCAACCCCTCGCCTCCAGATTCCCTGCAGACTCAACCCTAAGATGGTTCTGCTCTGATTGCCTATCATTTTTATGCAAGTGCTGGCTACTTTGAGTTTGTGTCCCTGTTCTGTAGGCAGCCTTCAGGCTCCACACGCTGCACTCCTCCTTCAAATTAGCTGATGATCTTGATCTGTTGCAGGCAGATCCCTCCGGCCCCAGCCTCCTATACTCCCACCTGAAATCTAGACACTTCTCCCCAGGGAACAAGGACAATGGCTCAAGAGTGAATGACAAAAGCGTTTTATTGAAGATTCACCCAAAGACGGATAAAGGGAAGGAAAAGAAGTGGATGGGACACAGTGTGGTTCCTATCCTGACTTGTAGGGCCAGTTGCTGCCAAGTGACAAGGGGGTTTGGTGCTGATGTAGAGGGCTATCTGGGATCATGGGCTGGCAGGGGGCATACATGACCCTGATGACTCTGGAAATAAAGCTCCTGATAGTGTTCTCCTCTGTCAGTTGACACCCCTCCCATTCCAGGTGGGTCACTAGGCCCAAATCGAGAAGAAGCTACCAAACTCCAAGAGGGCAGAGTCCACACTGAGGTGACATTGGTATGATGAGCCCCAGAGAGGGAGGGTGGAGGTGGAGGTGAAAGAAGCACAGAGACACCAGGGCTGGGCCCAGCTGGGCTCAGGGGCTGCAGGAACCTTGTCTCCTCTATCGGTGGGATCTCTTGGTCAAGGTGGTGGTAGAGATGATCTTGCTGCTGGAACTGCCACAAACACCACCACCAAATCCAAAGCCACTTCCGGAGCCAGAGCCAAAGCCACTGCCCAGGCCAAACCCAGAGCAGGTTCCTAATCCTCCGCTGATGCCCCCGGCACTAGCGCTACCACCAACCACGGCTGCAGGAGAGAGGCAAAGGATATGGTTATTCAACAATACTGGCAACCAGGGCTCTCAGCCCAAACCAGGGGGAACAACCAGCTATCACAGGGACAGAAGGTACTTACAGATGCTCATGGCACTCTGGCATTCTCCAGACATTCTACGGGGGAGAGAAAGAGCAGTGAGTCACAGTAGGACCCCGAGCCATGCTTGGCCCATAAGCAGGCCTCGAGCACCTATCCCATCCTTATGCAGCCAAATTAAAGGACTGCACGTGAACCTGGTATCTACACCGCGCTGGATCGTAATGCACCTGTGCAGTGCTGCAGCAGATGGCCCAGCAGCGGTGCAAACTCCAGGTGCTGGGGTCTCTCCCTCCCTCCCACTCCTGCCCTGCCTTCCCTATCCCACCTGCTCTCCTCGCCCTCCAGCAGCTTGCGGTAGGTGGCGATCTCCACATCCAGGGCCAGCTTCACGCTCAGGAGCTCCTGGTACTCGCGCAGCATCCGGGCCAGCTCCTCCTTGGCCTGGTGCAGGGCGGCCTCCAGCTCTTTGTACTTGCTCTGGGCGTCTTTGAGGGCCAGCTCCCCACGCTGCTCCGCATCAACCACCGATGCTTGCAGAGTCTGGCACTGTAGACGACAGCATTGAGCAGGCAATCATCAGTGTCCTGCTGGCAAGGCCCTGCCATCTATCCCCTGTCCTGTCCCGGTTCTTCCTGAGCTAAGATGTGAGGGTGCTGTCTGTCCTACTCCTCACCTGCTTTACTCTTATGCATTTCATTTACTCCAGCCAGGGTCCACCAATGTCCCCACCAGGCTGATTAGATGAAGATGAGCAAAAACCAATGAAGAAACCTTATTTATCTGGGTGTCATATCAGGTTAACTAGGGCATTGCTGAAAAGACCTGGGTGTGGCTTTTATAAGGAATCACAAATCCCCTGCATGCAAGCTCAGAATCTTCTGGCCCAATGCCTGATCTTCTTGTCTATTGTGTAGACCTCTCTTAGGCCCTTGACCCCGTACCATGGCCAGAAAATGGTGACACTTACCTGCTTCTTGACATTCTCAATCTCAGCCCGCAGCCTCTGGATCATCCTGTTGAGCTCTGAGATCTCATTCTTGGTATTCTTCAGGTTGTCACCATGTTGGTCAACAGAGATCTGGAGCTGCTGGACCTAATATCCAGGAAAACACAGGGAACAAAGGGTCAGAGACATTTGAGTGGGGTCTATTCTCAAGGGAGCTCAGTAATAGGCACAGGCATCAGGGATAATATAAACTGTCATGTAATCTCAAATCAGACCAGGATCAGCAATGCCTGGAAGGTCAATTCATCTCTGATTTCTCTTGGGCTTGAGATGATGATCACCTGCTCACAGACACCAAAAGCAGAGCCCCAGAAACCATCTCCTAAGAGATCCCTGACACGCACCTTGGTCTGGTACAGCGCTTCAGCCTCAGCCTTGCTCTTCTGGGCAATCTCCTCATACTGCGCACGGACCTCAGCAATGATACTGTCCAAATCCAGGTCCCGGTTGTTGTCCATGGACAGGACCACGGATGTGTCTGAGACATGTGTCTGCATCTGGGACAGCTCCTGCAGGGAAAATGTCTCATGTCAGGTGCCCCAAAGAGTCTCCCCTACTCTCTGACACCAAAAATCAATGCCACAGGCTCAGATGGAAGCAGAGCTGGCATCCCAGTGTGTAGGGAGGGGGGAGAATGGTAAGTTTCTATGTAGAAATCAAGTGATTGGTGACATTTCAAGACAGAAAAGTAATGCTTCTAGTCTTTACTGCTCTCTGGGATCCATAAGCTACCCCATGTTAGTAGGTGCTCCGTGCATTGAACCGAAGGGAATGGAATGGATTCCTTTCACCAAGGAACTGCTAGACAACAAGAAACTCTATCCCATGCAACCTTCAGATCTAATCACCCTTCTCAGACAATATCTGGTTTTGAAAACCTCCTGGGTGAGTCTCTCACTTTAACTCTTTTGACCTATGACCTTGCTAAGAGCATCCTCAGCAAGTTAGGGAGCTGGAGTCCTTTCAAAGAACTGTGAATTCCCACAACATATCTGTGAAGATATGGGATTCCATTCTTCCAATGCACGGGGATGGAGTCCTCACCGCAGCAAAGAGGACCCTCAAGAAGTTGATCTCATCATTCAGAGCATCCACCTTGGCCTCCAGCTCCACCTTGTTCATGTAGGCAGCGTCCACATCCTGCACAGGAGACAGAAGAGACAAGGTACAGAAATTACAATAAGGGCAGGGGAGTGTTAAGTGATGCACAAAGGTAGTCTCGGCACCAGGCAAGATGGCAAAGGACTAATCATTTGACATACTCTGCCCTAAAGCCAGCTGCAGAAATGGAAGTTAATTATCCAAATGGGCTTTTTTTCCCCAACCTCAATTCCTTGGGGTGTGGTTCAGTTACCCACTCCTTTGACCACATAGATCTGGATAGTACCAAGTGGGGTAAAAGTGAGGCCAGGATGGACCAAACCCATGGTTTAAACCAAAGGCCACTCCCAGGGGAAGGGGCACCTTCACAGCCTCTCCATCCCCTCCTTCTTCTCTTACCTTCTTGAGGACCACAAAGTCATTCTCTGCAGCTGCACGCTTGTTGATCTCATCTTCATACCTGGGGGTAGGAATGGGAAGGAGAAGACAGACGCCCCACAATGAGCTAGTGTTTCCCGGTTCTCTTGCTGCTACGTTTCAAACACCTAACTGGATGCCTGGGTGGTTCAGTGATTGAGCAACTGCCTTCAGCTCAGGGCGTGATCCCGGGGTCCTGGGATCGAGCCCCGCACCAGGCTCCCTGCATGGAGCCTGTTTCTCCCTCTGCCTGTGTCTCTCATGAATGAATAAATAAAATATTAAAAAAAACACCTATTTGGACATATCCAGGTAATTGGTCACATTTTCTCATTTTCATACAAATATTTATTCAACTTACATTTATTAATTACATGTATGAAATACTGATCTAGACCCTGGTTTATTCAGAGAAGTGAAAATCAAACTATAAAGACCGTTTTCAAGAGACAAGATGTGAGGAGGACAACCAGCCACAACCTGGTTGGTTTTATTTCTATAGAAGGGCCATCTATTTGGTGGATTGAGTTCTCAAGGATGCTGCCAACACTCCAGCTCTCTTTGGTATGAGAGTGAATTGAGAGAGGAGGTTGGCATTTTCTCAGCCCCATCCCATAGTGAGCATAATAAGAGCTACTGTGTCTTAAATGCTCATTATATGTCCAGTGCTATGCTTATGCTTACCTGCTTTCTCAATCTCATTTAATTTCATCTAATTCTCAAAAACTAGAGTTACTATCCTCATTTTAGAGATAAATAAGAATAAAGCTCAGAGAGGTTAAGCAAGTTACACAAAAGCACAAAGCTCGTAAGTGGAGGAATCAGTATTCAAACAAGGTCCATCTGTCTACAGTCTGTGTTCTTCTGACCTGCTGTCCACCACTTCTCATCTGTATGGTCTCTGATCTTGTATACGGCAAGCCCAACTCCCTGAATGTATCAAGAATTTTCTACTTGGGGCAACTTAGGGTTAATGGGCCTCCCCTCATTAAAAAGGGCCCATGTAGATGCAGGGGAACAAACTAGAAAACCTTTCTGACCCTTTTGGGATTTCTTCAGAGCCTGGAATTCTAAATGACTGGACAGGAGCCCAGGGACCCTGGGGCATGGCTGGGCAGACTTTTTCAGGTGGCATCCCTCTATCCTCCACACATACTTGGTCTTGAAGTCCTCCACGCTGTCCTGTGTGGTCTTCAACTCAGACTGCAGGCGTCCTTTGTCATTGACCAAGGTATCCAACTGCTTCCTCAGGGCACTAAGGTAAGCCTCAAAGAGGGGCTCAAGGTTTTTGCTGGATGTGGTGGTCGTCTGCTGCTGGAGGAGGCTCCACTTGGTCTCCAAGACCTTATTCTGTTGCTCTAAGAACCGCACCTATGTTTTAAAAAGGCACCAATCAATCAATGAGGGCCTGAAGCTTTGGCAGGAGGACCGGCCAAGGCCACCCAGGTGACCCAAGAGCCATGCAAGTAGGGCCACCATGTTGCAACTCCAGGCACCATCCACTGGGGTCAACACGGTGGCGCTGCTCCGAGGCAGCAAATGGGCCACATGTGTTGTAGAAAATGGAGCAACAGCCAGAGCAATAGGGCCTGACTATGTAGCAAGTATGTCCTCTTGACCACAGCGATCCAGAGGCCCTGGGGTGAGGTGCCGACAAGAACATTGACCTTCTAGGAAATAATAAAATAAACAAAACTAGGAGATACAACCACAGTCTGGGGACTCTTGCATTCAAAGTAATCCTGACCCAAGGCAAAGGAGTGATAAATTCACTGACAACTTTTTAAATAAATGGACCTGGTGTGTCTCTTTTATAAACCTGTGCATGATTGAGTCTAAATAGTTAAGATCAAGGCCCAAGACACATTCTGAGTCTCAGCCAGGCTCACCCTGCAATAGCTTAGCATGATATTCCCACTTTATGTGCTTCAGAGCTGAAAGAAAAGCAGGTCAGGGTGACCGATCACAGTTTGAACCCAAAAGGTGAGATGAGGGGAGAGGAGACAAGGAAGCACCAAACCCGGGGTCTTGTTTCTATATCTGTATGTCCTGGAGTCACCATACATAAAGCCTCTTTAAGCTACTGAAGTTTTACTCGACTATCCAGGAGAGCAAACACTTCCACTCAGTCACTTCGAGACTCTTTAGTCTTGCCCCACACATCTTAGAGGACTAAATCTGATGCATGGAGAGCCAGGGCATCCTTGGCTGAGTGGCTATACTCATCCACTCACTCATTAATCTCCAGGTGACTCGGTAATCGGGGCTGAGCTGCTTGTTATCATCCATCCTATTGCAATAGACACTGCATGGGAAAGGATGTTGGATCACAAAAAGAAAAGGAGACACCCAACCCCTCCTCTCTCCAAACAGAATCAGAAATGAGCAATTTTGCCCAGAGTCAAGAGGATGAAGGAGATGACCCTCCAAGGTCTTATAGGAACCCAGAATCTGCCATTGGCGATGGTCCCTTTTTCGTTTGGGAAACCAGCCTGGTTTTCTTCTGCTCTGACGACAAAAGTGCCAATAGTTAAATTACTATCTCAACTATGATTAATTTTAATTATTAAATTATTAACCATGCTACTTCTGAAACAGAATCTGAGAAAGAGCAGGGAAATAACGAACCCACTTTATCGCTGGGATGCCTGGATTCAGAAAAGCTGAACGACGTGCAGAGTATCACAAGGCACATCTAGGAAGACTCCAAACATCGCGCTGGTCTGAGCAGCCTGCCTGCCCACCAGCCATTTCCCAAGAGAAAGACTTGGGGGAAGGACCCCCCCCCTTTAACAGCTGGAACACAGAGGCCCGGAGAAGCTCAGTGGTTTGCACCCCTGCGGCAGGCCCAGGTCTGAGATCCCAGCACTCGGGAGCCCCAGCTTCGAGCACCTGTGGCCGAGGGGAGCTCACCTTGTCGATGAAGGAGGCGAACTTGTTGTTGAGCGTCTTGATCTGCTCGCGCTCCTCCGTCCGGACCTTCTGGATCTCGGGGTCAATCTCCACGTGGAGGGGGGTCAGCAGGCTCTGGTTGATGGTGACCTCCTGGATCCCTCCGGCAGGGCACACGGGGAAGCCAGGGCCACCCCGTCCACTGAAGGAACCCCCAAATCCACTACCGAAGTTGCCGGCTCCAAAACCTGCCCCGAAGCTGCCGGCACCAAAACCGGCAGCAGCCCCAAAGCCAGCGCCTTGGCGGGCCCCGGCCACGCTCATGGAGATGCTCTTCCTGCCCCCAAGGCTGTAGAGGCTCCTGCTGCCGAAGCCCCCGGAGGAGCAGCGGCCCGCGCCCCCGGACACGGAGGCCGAGCTGAATGCGGCCCGCCTGCCCCCTCCGACCACGGCGGAGCCGCAGCTGAAGGCCCGGGAGCCGCGGGCGCCCTGCTGTCTGGGGATCATGGGTGCGGGGAGAGCGAGCTGGAGCCTCGAGAAGCGCCGGGGGCCAGGCCGTGAGTGCTGCGGCCCCAGCCCCGGCTCTTATATGTGCTGGAGCAGCAGGGCTTGGTTGCAGGGGCATAAAGGGAAAAATCTGAAACATCTCTGGGCTTGGCCTTTGGCACAGGCCCATCCTTCTCGTACCTGCTGAGTATGTCACTAAACACACCTTCAGATGTCATTTCGAGGGCACAGTTTACAGGATCCCAACACACTCCCCTTCGGGAGAGCCTCAACGAGTGCCCCAGGGCCTCCTGAATCACAGGCCTCTGCCCAGGCCCAGCCCCTCGGGCCTGCCACCCAGCGCACCTCCATCTCGGCAGCCTCCTTGCGGGCCCCCAGCTCCACATGAGATGACCTATCACCCATCCTCTCTCTCCAGGAGTTTGGAAACAGAGGACCTGGATTCCAGGGCATTGCCCACTCATACGTGTTCTGCAAACCTGAGCAAGTCACTGTCTGGGGTTCAGTTGCTTCACCCAGAAATGAGAAATAATACGAATATTTGCCTTCACCCCCTCTCCAGATGCAGTGAGATTATGATCATTGTAAACTGTCGGAAGCTGCACCTATATTGATTACCAGCATTATTAATCCCCCATCTGCGCTCGGCCCCATGTGCACCTACAAAAGAAGAAATCCATATTCCAGCCTCATAGTCTCCCAAACCTAGATCAAGATTCACCTCGACCTGACACAGTTGTTGAGAACCTACTTCGTGCCCATTGCGGAGCTGGGGACTGAGGAACTCATGAGAAGGAACTCATGTTCCTTCTCCGGCCTCTGTTTGGGTGTCTGTTTGTAGGATTCTAGATCAGCGTTCTCCAGTCTGGGTCCCCATTGGGCGTGCCCCGCTGCTCCATTTGCAGCCCAAACGTTTGCTTGCCTCCCCCAGGACAGAGCATGTTCTGCTTTCCCCTAACGGTCTCAGCATTCAGGGCAGGAGTCTGTAACCCTTTTGGTGCTCAGGATTCCTTTGGCAGAGTAGCAAAACCCATGAGCCCCTTCTCAGAGCAATGTTTTTAAATGCAAAGTCCTAGTTTTAAGCCCTCGCTTACATTCTTCTCCACTGGGTGGCATGGATCTGTGTTCAAATCCCACCTGTGGCCACTAACCAGCTGAACTCATTCAACCCATCCTCTCATCTATAAAGGGACACCTGCCTCTTACGTCCTCGCAGTGCCTGGCACAGAGTAGGTCAGTGGGCATTCATTCTTAGCCTGCCCAGACTTTGCCACTGCCGCTTAGGATGAAAAATTAGACAAATCTGCAGCCCTTCCCCGTCTTCTAAAGCCCTAATAAAACTGCCATTCCAAATTCGGGGAATAGCAGTGATCAGGGCCTGGGTAATTCCCATAGGCCCAAGCTGATCCTGACCACATGGAAGCTGGCCACGACAGAAATGACCAGCTCTTCCCCCCTGCAAAGAGAAAAGGCATGACCCATGGGGTGCAAAGAGGGAGGTCAGTGGATCCAGTTCTTGGGGATGGGGCTGCTGGGAGGACTGGACTGGCTGGGAGCTCTCTCCCCTCCCCACTCCCACCCTCAACCCCTCTCCCGGCCCTCCTCTTACCTCTACGTCTGGTCTGTACCCCACCCTCAGCATCCCCCACCTCCCCTTTTGCTCAGCTCCACTCGCCCCTACCCAGGTGCCCTCTAAATAGATGGAGGGCAGGTGAAGGAGCTGTGACAGCAAGGCCAGGAAGCCCCAGGCTCTATCGAAGGTCCGTGGAAGAAAGCCCAATGGATAGTCCATCCACCTGTAGTAAGTGAGCATCTTAGAGCCAGGACCACCTCCTACAAGGAATGCAGTGGAACCTTCAGTCCCTCTTTCAGTGAGTATTTACTGAGGGCCAGCTTTGTGCCAGCCCCGTGCTGAGTGCTTTATACACATGACACCACCCTGCCTTCCTAAAAGTTCTCCGGGGTCATGCAGTCGCACGTGGCGGAGTCAGGACTTGAACTCACAAAGGCTGCTCCCAAAGGCTCTGCACCCCCAGCCTCTCACTGTGTCATCCTGCCTGGGATGAGATCAGTTGTCTAACTTCTACAGCAGCCATTCCAGAATTGGGCACCTGAACAAACCTGGCTGAACTGACCATTCGGGTCAAGGGGGTCCTGAGGGCACTGGTATCCCAGGGTCTACTGACTCCCACCTTGACCCCAAGCGGGGACGCAGCTGGGAAGGAAGGTGGGGTTACTGCAGGTATCTGGGGCTGCAGCTATGGGAGCAGAGGAGATCTGGCAAAGAGCTGAGAAAGAGGTATTGCTCTGCTCAGTTTAGAGCTGCAGACGCTGAGGCCCAGAGAGGTCATGTAACTTGTCTGAGCTCACGCAGCTAGGAGGTGATGGCAGTGGGAAGCCAGGCGTCTCTGTCTACACCACCGCCCTTGGGAAGCCGAGGTCTGATTCTCAGCTGTCCTGCCCCGAGAGGAGATGGGAAGGCCTCCGGGATCGCAGCCTGAAGGAGGGCCCGGGACTCAGACCCTGGCCATCCCCCCCCCACCCAGGTCTCTGCACCTCCCACTCACCACCCCATTCTCTTGCGGTGATGAGAACTCTCATGGGCTAGGAGGAAGGCTTGCATCTGCAAAGCTCAAGCCCCAAGGTGGCTTCTGATGCCTCCGTTGGGTCTTGTAGTCTGTGGCCGTGACACTCCAATGCTAGGAGACAATGATGCGATGTGTTGTACCTAGAGTGGTGTCCACTCATGCCCGGAGCCTAAAACAGAAAGCAGGTGGGTGTGGAAGGGATTTGAGGGTGGGGGGGATAATAAATAATCTATAATCAGTCTAAATTTTGTGCCTGTGGGTACTTCCCCATTGAGGCACTCCTCATAAAGCTAATGCTAAACCGAGGCCCATACCATCCTGAGATTAAAAAAATAAAACAAGAGAAAGGCCGTTAGTGCTTTTCAGATAGAAGGGACTCTCATCCAGAGCTGCCTTTATGTGCTGGACACGGAGGGCTTTTCTCAGAACAGTTCGTTCCTCACAACAACCCTGAGAAGGAGGTGTTGCTCCGCTCAGAGCTGCAGACGCGGAGGCCCAGAGAGGTCACGTAAGTCGTCTGAGCTCACGCAGCTAGGAGGTGATGGCAGTGCGAAGCCAGGCGTCTCTAACTGCAAAGCCTGTGACCTTGACTCTACACTACAGTGTAGAGCTTCACATCTGCCCCACACATACCTGCAGGGGAAAAAAAATAAAATAAAAATGAATTTTAAAAAATAAATAAAGCATATGGCCACGTCTACAAACCCATAGCTATGACCCACCAGAGCAGCAACGGGGTCTCGACCGGCCCGGGGCACGTTCTGCAGAGCTGCCTCTGCTCCTTCTGTCCTTGCTTTTGTCACATGATTGGTTGCTCACTTTATGTGGCCCTGTCCTTGCAAGTACCCAACAAGGTAGGATGTTGTCCCGAGGGCCCGATTCCGTGTCCTTCAATTAAGCAAATCCAAATTAACTTAATTACAAATCCTACAATAAACCCAAAGCAAACAGGAAGAAAGGTCTAGACTAGAGCCATGTTCTGTGGCCTTATTAATAGCCAGAATTGCCAGAAGTTCACAAGCCCCTCAAACTGCAGCCTGAGAAACTGAAGGTAGACACGCCCTCACTCTGCACAGGGATCTAACCCTTGAAGTGAGAGAGACAGCGAGGAGAGTGTTTCCCTGGAAAAGGGAGAAATGCCTCCTGCCCGCCCGGGCTGGGGTCAGGAGACTGGACAAGGTGACCCTCGCAGACTGCAATGGCTACAAGCTGGTCCCCGTCCCACCCCTTCAGCCTCCCCTCCTGCCCTCTGTGACCCTTCCTCCTCTGGCAGCTGTTCCTGATCTTATCAAAGAGGATGAGCAGCTGACAGGGGTGTGGAGCCGGGTGGGAAGGTGTGTTTGCCTTGGGCTTTCTGGGCGAGGGAGGCGAGCCCTCGCATTCAGCCGGGGATTACAGGGATCCCGGGGCCTTTCACTCAGCCCCAAAGCAGGTGTGTGCTGTGAGAAGCGCCCCCGCCCTCCCTGGTCCTCAGTCGCTGTCACTGGGCCTCCTGGGCCTGAGTCACTCTTTGGGGAGCCAGAGCCAAGCTGGTGATCAGAGACTCTGCAGCAGAGGGCCCATCAGCATTTCAGGAAGGGGCAGAGGGTCCGGGGGGACAGTGAGAGCTGGGACTCCTACCTTCAGGGGGCGCGGGGGGGAGGGCTCTGGGCGTGAGCAAGTGGGGGTACCCAACACATTTTGACAGCAAAACCAAACACAAGCATATCCCCATTTGCAAAACAGACGAAGGGAGAAATGCTCCGATCGGTGCAGAGCGGGAGGGTATGAGCTTCCCACACGCTGCCTCCACCCCTGCGCGGCCCTTGGGGGCCTCAGACTCCAGGAGCTCGGCGTGGGGAACCCCTGGGTCCGGGCCATTCCCAGCCTTCAACGAGTATTTCTAAGTAACATGATGTTAGTGGACCTTCCTGACAAGTGAGATGACCTTTGACTTCTATTGCATGATCATCTAAATGTCTCGATTTGGTTTTTAAGCTCTAAATGTAATTTCAGTGGCACCGCCGGCTTGCGTTACTCTACCAGGAGCAAGCTCCTTCCAGCTCTCAGCCGATACGTGAAGTTTGGCCTAGACGGCGTCCCGGGTCCCTTACTGCTCTCGTACCCCCTGCTTCTCAGCGTCTTGTTCTGGAAAAGCAGCATAAGCCAGTTGTTAAGAACTTGGACTCTGGAACCCGAGTACTGAGGTTCCACGCCCAGCTCGGCCGCTGCTTGCTGACCTCAGGCAAGTTCCTTAGCCACTCGGGCCTGCGATTCCCTCGATTCCCTCCTCTGCGAGACCTACTTCTCTCCAGGCCGCGGAGAGCGAATCAGCTAGAGGGCGAGAACCCAATCACAGTGGCTATTATTCCTAGAAGGCGTCGACGTCAGGAGGGGGCGACACTCCACCCCTAAGAAGAGAAGCACCACCGC